ATTAACTACATTTCTTCTTTCGTTTAATTCTAATAAGCATAAGCTTCTTACGTTTAATTCCGACACTTCTATGGAGAGATTTATCCATCTTTTACCCAATGTAAAATGTAATATTGCGCATATAAATAGCAATGACATAACCTGTCCTGCAACATATAAAAACCAAATTGTATGAAGGCAAACACAAACGAAGGCTTCCGTATCTGTGCCGTTTAGTTTCTTTATTATTTTAAAATAAGAAATTGCAGCCATTATATTGAGCAACATAGATATAAAGAACAAACAGGAAAGGATGCTAATCAGGTATATTTGTATCTGCTCGATAATTTTCCATTCTCCTTCGTAACTGCTAATTAAGCAATGAAGTGAAATCCTTCTTCTTTTTAGAATGCTAAACTGCGCAGCTACGTAAATGGAGACGAAAGCGCTGGCAACCGCTACTGGTAAGGCATAATCGTTGTACATATGAATTGAACGTAAAACATATAAATTCATGTCATACAATCTTATTATGTAAAGTAATGCCACTGTCCACAGAAATAGCTCGATGGCAGCGCTGTATATTTTGAATAATGTAGAACGATAGCCGTGTTTTCTCGTGTTTCTTTCATTATACATGCAATCACATCGTACACAGAAATCCAGTCCGTATACTTTAGCAGAATCGACAATTGGAGCTAAGATATAATCTAAACAAATCTGCTCGTGTGTGAATGACATTTTAAATGCAATGGTTTTAATTCGTTGTTTAAATTAATTAATATGACCTGGCTTTCAAAAGAGAACCTCGATATAAGTCTACTGAATATCGTATGTACAGTACAGTACATCTGTATTACATCGACTGCGTTGGTTCAGTTTATTGAATATCTACGCTAATGATTTTACTTAAAATAATATTACACTGATTGAAATATGCAAATCTGTTTGCACAGTAATGCAACTTAATTTAAGTCTATTAAAATATTATTGGATTTCAATATCCGTTGCATAAATTACCATATTCAATAAAAGTTCAATTAAGTTCCATTAAATTTATGTCACGTCTATGAAAGTTATCTAAATGGACACCAGCTTTATGGCTAAATTAGAAAGTTAAGTGATATTTTATTTACTTGACTAATTGCCTTCCCTATTATTCTTCCAAGCACACTGGGTTGTAGGTGACGTGCCAACTACACTGGGATGAATTGAACAAAATATACACGTTTCGTTATTAGTTTTACTACAATATTTTTTACATCGCAATAAAGTAGTTGTGTTTTTTCTACTAAGTTTGTACTTTATGAAATTAAAACCAAATTATGAACAACACACAGACACAACAAGACTCCTGGTGCGTACTTAAATTGCATTTTATTATTAAAATTGATATCAATGTTATATTAACTATACAATATCATCTTCTCAGTAGTATCATCAGTTGTAATTGCATCAGCATATCGTTCTGTACTTTCAAGTTTAATATTTTTCTAATTAAAATTTTTGCTAAACAATCTTTAAAGAAATTTCTTAAATTTTATTTTTTTCGATTTATATTAATTAATTGGGTGCCTCTAAACAAAAATAATAAGCAAGAAAAAACAGCTTTTAGCTCTTCTTATGGTTTCGCGCGATCTCCAGGAAATAACGCAATATAAACACGGGTGTCTGAGGCAAGATAGATATTGTGAGCGCTATGGCAAATTAAATATGGACTAAATTTTCGAAGCAAAAACATTTTTGGACTAAAAAGACCTCCAAACATTTTTGGACTCAAAAAAGTTTTTTTTGACACAATTCTTTAGTTGGGGCCCTGTGGAAAGTTGCAAAAATATTCGGGTTTTTCGTGTTTGTATGGATGTTTGTTTACTCAATTTGAGGCATACAATCTTTTGAACCTTTTGTCGAAATTTTTGCAAAGTGGTCTGTGTATTAGGAGAATTGATGCTGTTAAATTTTAGTAGTTAACTATCAAAAAGTGGGAAATAAAGGAGGTTGTGTGTCATATTTAGAAACAGTAATACTAGTGACTACCATATACAAACACCATTCATGTGAGATGTGTGGTTTTGGCTGAAAAGTGAAATATAGGGGTGACACACACGTCCATTTATATATATATATAGATAGATAGATAATAAAAGCTATTAAGCATGTAAATTTTCGTTAATTGAATGACAAGCAGAAAATTTTCATATGCTTATATAGAACAAACAAGGAATAAAAGTCGTCTTTAAAGTAGATTCACTCTTACGTAACGTAATGGACACCATAATTCACATTTTATTATTTTTTCAAGGTGGTGAAGTGCAAAAGAATGCGATCATTAACAATATTTGAATTAGTTCACCGAAGCTTTTAGTGAAATTACCATCCACTTTTCTTATATAAGAAGAACGCAAATAAGACAATACACGTACTGTATGCGGACGGAACTCATCAGGTTCCTTTGCAAGATCAATCTTTCTTTCTTAATCTTATTCGTAAATTTATATTAATTTAATTTATAAAACTAATAAAGACCATTACGTGAAGCAATGTCGTCTGAACACAACAAAATGTGTTTGGATCATATTTTAGCTCCAATTTTGGATTCTGCTAAAGTTTACGGATTGGATTTCTGCATTCGATGTAAATGCATGTCAGCTGAAATAAACAGACAGAAACACAATCGTGTTTCGACATTATTCATGACATACAGCTGTGTCATCGAGGTATTTTTGTGGATAATGGCGTTACTCCACTTAATAAGATTATACGACATGAATTTATATGCCATGCGTGTAATTCATATGTACAACGATTATGCCTTACCAGCTGCGGTGGCCACCGCATTTTTATCCATTTATGTAGCTGCTCAGTTTAGTATTCTTAAGAGGAGTAAGATTTCACTTCATTGCATAATTAGCAGTTACGAAGGAGAATGGAAAATCACCGAGAAGTTACAAGTATATCTGATTAGCATCGTTTCCTGTTTGTTTTTTATCTCCATGTTGCTAAATATAATGACTGGAATTACTTTTTTCATAATAATAAAAAAACTAAAAGGCACAGATATAGAAGCCTTCGTTTGTGTTTGCTTCCATACAGTTTGGTTTTTATATATAGCAGGTCAGATAATAGTGTTCTTACTGATATGCACATTACTCGGCATTACATTGGGCAAAAGATTGATAAATCTCTCGTTAGAACTATTGAAACTAAGCATAAGGAGCTTGTTGTTGTTAGAACTGAATGAAAGAACAAATAAAATTAACGCACTAATGTGGAAACATCAAGAAATCTGGGAGTTCTTTGAAATGGAATATCCTCCTACCATTTATATACACTCATTTTCTGTACACTACGTGTTTTCTTCTGTATGCGACATTATTTGTGGATATGGAACTGACACTGAAAACATGTTCAGGAGTCATTTCACTTATATTTCTTTCAGGTTTCATTCTAGTGAGTTGGGCCCTATCTTTCTTCACGACGTTGGTAACTTATAAATATTCGTATGTGTTGATGTGAAATATTTGAAAATTAAATTAAAATTACACTTTATATAACAACTTTTTTAGACACGCGCAAATAGTAGTTCACGATTTATTTAGCTTTAGTTTAATTCACTAAGCGTAAATGCATCCGTGATTTGTCACTCCCCATGAAATTTTTAAAAAAATTTATATATAAAAGTGTTAAACTTAATGTGCATTGCTGTTTCCCCAAATTATTTTCGGCCGGATTATCATCAAAACTTTTAAAAAAAATATTTTATATGATTTTATTTAAATTTCAATTTTGACAATAATGATATTGTATTTAATAATACGATTATTACTTCGTGATCTCTATTAAAAATCGAAGTTTGCAGTAGCACTCAGTGATCTTTACAAGTTGTATAGTCGAAATTTGTTCCTAGGAGTGAGATTTATTTCGATTTTACTATACATTAGTTACGACTTCTCAATTGTGTTTCATTTTTTTTTTGGGTGTTATATATAACAGAAAAAAGGTATGGCAGTTGGTCAAAAATGTCCCTTGAAGCAGCGCCGGCCCTACCATAGGGCAAACGGAGCAGCCCCTCCAGGCGCTAAGTCCTAGGGGTCGCCTTAGTAGTAAAGAAAATTAAAAGGTATAAATTAGAGGCAACCAAGGGGGCGCCATTATAGGATCTCGCTCCATCCTAAAACTTGCCTCGGGCCGGCACCGCCTGGAAGCATCGAAATTTGGTTATTTTCTGTGTGTTTGAAAGTTGTAACTCCCGGGCATTTTGTTGCAAACCACTGGTGTCAGGAATCTTCGACTGACAGAAACATAACAGGGAGATTGTCAAAATCTTCTTGTTCTGTTAATTATCCCGAAATTCTGTTAAATGTCCCGAAATTATTGATAATAGCCGTTTACTGGGGACCCGCACTTTTGATTTCGCAAGAGGTTTTAATATTAGAGTGACCCCACTCCTCACCGAGAGTATATTAACTAGATGATATTGTAAAAACAATATCATTTAGTAAAGAGATTTACACTAGTTTTCTTTTTTCCAGATGTATGACAGCTTTATAAATATTGAAAAGATTTCTTCTGTGGCCTTTCCTTTAGAATTTAAGTTCAAGGTAATGCGTTTATGATCTAATTTTACATAACGTATCAATTGACAAGTGACTTACGATATTAATAAAATATTAGAAGCAGTGAAGTTTCACTTATCATATGTAAAAAATACATGTTTGAAAGAAAAATTGATAATGAATACGTTAATTTTTTGTTTGATAAATACCAATAATTTTACAAGCCGATCTTATAAATTAGTGCATTTTTCATTACATTTCCTTAATGAAGATCGGCAAATGTATAACACAGTTTTTAATTATTAAATGTGAATAATTAATGAAATATAGAAATAAAATCTTTATAAAATCTAATTCATAGACAAACTCTTGTGTAATTAATATATTTTTAATATACTTTGAGTTATTTTCTTTCAGATCGACAATTTTATGAAGAGATTTGGAAAGAATCCCATTGGAATATCCGTTGGAGGTTTCTTTTATGTCAAGAGAAATTTCGTCATAAGAGTAAGTATTTAGAATAACTTGTAAAGGTGGTTAGAAAGCGTTACAAAAATTAATATTCTGTAGGAAATTAGTAAGAATTTAATTGTGTTTAATTATAATTTCAGGTAATTAGCGGCTTATACTCCACATTATCTTCGTTTGTTCAAATTAGTGGTGTATTGGAACGTGAAAACAAATGTCTTGTGAAGTACAGAAATCACACAAGAGCTGTACAAAATTCAAGTGTTATGTCGTAATTAAGTTAGTTACTAATTGGTTATAATAATAAAATTTCAGAATTATTTTGCAATTGTTGTGTAATATTTAAATATATTAAAGATGTGAATGATGCATGAAACGTTGCATTGAATTATTACTTTCGAAAGTCACTTAAAGTGAAACTTTTCGTGATTTTTTACAAAGTTTTATAACATTATGTACACATTGGTTGTCAATAGAAAAATTAAAATGTAGAACAGATTCTTTGTTCGATGTTTCTCAAATTTGTCGAAATTCCGATGTTCAATGAAAACTAAAATAAAAAGTTTCTAACACAGGAGAACCTGCCGAAAAAGTTAATTTTATTTTATATACTTCAGTATTTTTGCCATATAAATTAATGTAAAATACGATAATGCGTTTCACGCTGAAAAATACTCAAATATTTCATGCATTTGAATAATTATAAATAATTAATTTTTAATTTAAACATTTTTATAATTAACTGGAAATGGTCATTAAATTTAATATGTGATGGCAGCAAATTATTTAATTTCTAACATAACTGTATGGTATAATCAGTAATGTACTTTTCTGTGAGAAGAAATGAGGTAACGTGATATAAACCAAATTATTTTAATTAATATGTGATGAATAAACACTATTTATGTATTTATACGGCTTTTTAGAAAAAATATGGCTTACATACGTCGATTACTTTGACTCCATTTTATTTCTCTTTTTTACTGTATATATATATATGCACAGTATGTAAAATAATACTTAAGAGTTTAATGTCGTTTAAAGAAAAACTTTTAATAATTGCACTCATGTCGTTTGTTTCAAAAAAATAAATGGAGAGTCAGGGGTTACATTGATTTATTATCTGTATTTAAAGATTTTCATGATAATGAATATACTTTTGTGTACAATATGTTCGTAATGATAAATCCGATGATATATGCCGTAATTTACATGTTTCGTTGGCACTTTAAGAGTACAGTATACTGCCTGTCGCTATTTGTCTTCGTACCTGCAAAACATGAATAATACGGTAAACTTAACCTGTAAACAGAGTGCGGATTTTACTGTACATATGTATAAAGTCCAATACTTTCACCAGTCCAATACTTGTCGTATTACAGAGACTCTAGTATAAAAATTTTCAAAGGATGCCCTCTGGTTTAACAATCAAGTATATCATATACAATTTACCGTCGGGTTTCGAACGTTTCGCTTTTCGAACAAATCTGTTTCTGTTTATCGGTTATATTTTATCCAGCCAGAGTTGAGTCTCTATTTACACGCACTTTATTGTAAGGTGTTTGTTTCGGTTTCTGTTTCAATTGGCGGTAATTGAAGGTTTCGTTATAACTATATATGTATAGAACAGATATAGAATATACATATACATAATATGTTATACAGAATACTGTATTTGATTTTCAGGCATTTTTATGCATGAAATACAGCAAAAAATGCTTTGTTTTACAGGAAGAGAACTGGCTATCCTATGTTATATTGTTTCTTATGAGTAAAGGAAATAATTATTAAGGATGAGCGGCTAAGGTTCGTTCTAATAGTTTTAAAGTCGCAGTTGCTATGTGAAGTAAAGATTTGGGCGTCAATATTTTTGTTCAAAGTTATAATCGCAGTGTGAGGGTTTTCTTGACCGTTAGTATAGTAGAAACAGTTAAGGTTGCTGAAAAGAGTGATCCTCCTGTTGCAACAGTCGGGTTCCTGCACAACAAGGATGTCAGCTTGATGGTTGTTGGCAACTTGCATAGCTTCTGTAGTATTTGCCTTACACTTCTGTAGATTGATCTGTAGCAGTGTTATATTATTTTTGAAGAGGAGAGTATTCATAATTCGTTTGTTTTATTAATTGTTTTTTTTTTTAATTTAAGGGTCTGTGGACAGTGTGGTTCAAATTCTTTATGGTTCATTAGTTGAATTCTCTCCATTTGTAATTATTTGTTGTTTGTCTTGCAGTTTATGCAACGAGGAAGCTGTGTTGGCCGCTACAAAATCTTTTAAATGATAGCTTTTTAAACAGCGGCTGTACCTTTAAGTCACAGTGCACTCTCTCGCAATATAATTAAATTTACAACAGTTATAACCTCTATGATGTGGATGAAGTCATCGTTCTGAATATTTTCCCAGGAAATGGCTAGTAACTTTCCTTAATTAATTGTTTTCTAATGTCAGGAGTTGTAGACTTTACTACATGGCAGCAGTTTTCACGTACATTTCTTTTGGTGATATTAATGCTAATCCATGTAGCAGCGACCAATTCCTCCCTGGGGATAATGTATAGAGCTCCATTTTGATCGTAAATTGCTTCGATAATATCGTTATCGTCGATTGAGTTCGAAACATTCAGAAGTATGATCCGTGGTCTTCGTCCTTCAGATATTTTAGTTATTACTTTGCAACTAATTTCGGGCAGTGCTTTAATAGCCTTTGATATTAAGGCCTTTGCAGTATTACGGCTTCCCGTTCAAAAACATATTATATCACCTTTCATTTCCTTAATTGCAGTAACTTTTATACGATGTTTATTCGGTTTAATTTTGTTAGTGATTTCTGAATAAACGTTTCGCATATTAATTTTTGCTCCACCATCTTGTTTCACCGTGGTTTACTTGTGCGATTTTGGGATTTGTGTCACGGGTCCAAATTTATTCTTAATATTTTAAGCAATATATGGATGGTAGCATATTTTATGGTGTTTACAGGGATATTCGTTTAATTGCGTTACTGTAATTACACGGAATTTTTAACGGTTCAATATTGGTGGACAATGATTGATTGAGGAAAACGTCAAAAAACGGATTTACCCTTTTATATAGTCTACAAATTTCTGTTAATAATGTGTTAATTTGTTACACATGTGACGGAATTTGAGGGGTGTGTCTCTTCTAAACCATGCATCATATACTTGTGAGATTTAACACGATTTAATGCATTTCTTGATGTTTAAATGGTCATTTTTTGACCGAATGCGTTAGTTTCCTTCTTTTATATATAACATATCAGAAACTAGAAATGAAACACAATTGAAAAGTCGTATCTAATGTATAGAAGTGCCTTCTTGTGTAGACGGGTTTTCGATATAGTTCATTGAAATTTCCGGCCCCTAAGGTTTCCGTATCTGCTCTGGATTTAATGATATCTTGTTCCTGTGATTTATAGTTTTCATAATAATGAAGTCATGTTGGTAATCTATCTAACTTCTGTTTCGCAAACAATTTCTTTTGAAATTACACGATCCTCGTAATTCTATCTGTCATTTTAATGAGAAATTCATTTTATTCTGACTGATGGAATAAGGTTGATCCCAACTACGAATTGAACACAAAAATATTAACAGCTCGTAAAGTTGTACGCATGATAATCCGAATAAATTGTATGATTCTTGTAAATTGAGGAAAAATGTATCAGATGCTCAGATTAAATGATGTAATAATCATATAGAGCTATTGTTAGGGGAGACCGGGGCAAGATCGGCATGTTAAGCTTTACTTAAATTTTGTGTAATAAATACTGCTGTAAACTGAAAAAAAAAGCTTTGCATATTGTCTATTGGAATGTTACCTTAGTATAGAACTGGTTAAAATCAGTTTGGAAATAAAAATAATTAAAATAATTACAACTTTACAAGAAGAGAGAAATTGACGAAGTTGCCCCGGGTATAGGGGCAAGATCGGCAACTTCTCTCTTTTTGTAAAGTTGTAATTATTTTAATTATTTTTATTAAAGTTGCCCCTGGTATAGGGGCAACAGTAATGGGGCAAGATAGGCACGTATATAAAATTATGTTATTAACAATGTATAAGTTGGAATTCACTATTAAAACAAAGAAATACAAATCCAACACCCATTTAATATTATTACAACGAAATGCAAGTTCAAAGACATATATACATGAATAACAAATGCAAACATGTTTTCATTTATCATCTGTTTGATTTTTATCCTTTGCTTCTAATGTGGCTTTATGTTGCCGATCTTACCCCGCTAGTCATCATTTCGAAACATTAAGTACAACCCTGAGAACAGAATGCCAAGCCACGATCTGGCCACGTGAATAAGTTGAAGTTACATCCTTCTAACAGGAAAAGTAACTTTCGTTATCATGGAATTATAACAAAACCTGCCAATTCAATATAAATGGAAAAAAAATATTATATGGAATTGAACGAAAATGAAAATTTGCTTGATAATTCAACTACGCTTGTTGGAGAACAATAAAAACACTACACTCAACAAGCCACCAATAAAACCTATAACCAAAGTCTCCTTTTAATTTGTTTTTAAAAAAAAAGTGCTTGACAAACTTGCCCCGCATGCCGAAGTTGCCCCGGTCTCCCCTAAATAATGTAAATTATCCTGGCAATTATTCTTGGCTCAGCATTATGTTCATAATACATTTCCAGTGTAGAATAGAAGTTCGTATATTCTTTATCGTGGTTTCCGACCCCTAAGTTTTTGTATCTAAGCTTTTTCGTTCAACATAACGATACCATTAAAAATTAAATTCAAACGATGCGAATTTAACATTTTTAGCATTGTAGTTTTAAGAAATTCAAATCCTTTGCTGGGAAAATGTATATAATAACACGTATTATATGTATAACATATAGAATTTTGAAGGATGAAAGATGGAGCCCAGCCATTAATATTGATCTTACTCTCATTTCTTTATATAGAAAAACATTATTCGAGAAATAAGGGACCTCCAGTCTATATTTAGGCATATCGACTTTCCATGTGTGCCTGAAAGTATATTATAATATTAA